CTGGAGTGTCCAGTCAGTGTGTCTGTATGAACCCCTCTCTCTCTTTGCTACAGATTCACGAGAGACCGAGACTGTCGCATGCTGTATGTCCCGCGAGTGTGTTTTGGGACGTACGCGGGACGCTGTTACACACTGAAAAGTTACAACCGAGAGGTCATCCTGCCCGTCCAGCCTGTTGCGTAACGAGAAGCTCAGTAATCAGAGTTCCTGGTGCAGCTGGTTCTTGAAATTAGTCAGGGTTTTTGGCTTCAACAACACAGCAGGACAGCTTGTTCCCTACCCCTACCGCCCTCTGTGTACGGTAGTGTCTCCTGCCCTGACTGTAGGATCTCATCCAGCTGCCTGTCGAGCAGCCAGAGTATCGGCTTCTACAACACAACTGGGCAGCTTCGTCCCTACTCCCACCACCCTTTGTGTACCCTTTAAATGCTTTTGCTTTTATTTTATTCAGCTTCAAGTTTCAAGCTGCCAGACTGCCAATATAGCGCACTGTCAGCTTTTAATGCGCTGTGAATGAGGTTTCCCTGCCTTTGAATGTGTATTTTGTGCTTCATGTAAACTTTTGCTAATCAATTGTGTAATAAATAACAGTTACCACCTCCCCAGTGAAATGGTTTCTGCATTTGTTCCACACTCCCACCACCTTTTGTGTAAAGTGCGTCCTGTTCTTGTCTTATCTGATTCTGCACTAGAGGCCCACTGTAATGAGCACTGTGCACACACACACACACCTCCCCACAGTCATTTTCTCCTTTTTTAATGAAAATATATGTACAAAAGTGCTTCTTGTTTCTATGCAGAACAAGTGTCACATCGAAATACGTCCCTGAGAAAAGGGTAAACCCTAACCCACACAACAAAGGTTCCAGCTTAGAGTTCAGTATGTTGTTCTCTGCTTTTGCGAAGTCAACCCGTCAGACAAGCACAATAAAAGCACAACAAGCAGACATTTAAAATCCCCTGGTGGGGTGACTGCATGAAACAAGTCCATCAAGCACCATCAAATACTGTTTCTGTCTTTGTGCTCTCTTGCCTGTGATCTCCTCTCTCTCACTGTGTCTCCTTGTTCCTGAGTGAGTCTCTGGCGTGGTTTCTCCTGCTGCAGACGGATCGACGGTCAGACGACACAGCGTGTGAAATAAATGAAGCAGAGACAGCAGTGAAAACTGTCCCGGACACGGTCTCACACAGAAACTCCCACAGGGGCGAGAGGGGAGGACAGAGATTCTGTAAAACACCTCAGGGGAATAAAACCAAAAACACATGATCACAATTAACGCAAAACAACACCAAACGCAGAGCAAGAGGAGAGCTGGAGGTAGAAAGGCACACTGGCGCCCCCTGCCTGCGGGGCAGCTGTACTGCATGGGGCAGTCCCCGACGCGGAGCCGCTGTGAGCTGATCACACCGGCAGGAGTGACACTGTCCATCCTGTCACGGCTCTGACGGGGACAGTTTGTCGGGAGGAAAGAGACTAATTCAGTTC